ATCACTTTCAGTCAATGAAAATTGGCATTGATGTAATAGATTTTATCGCTTTGTATATATATGTTTCAGTCGTCAATGTAATAATATTGTGCCTGTTTTACAGAACACTGGTTCAGTTTAGGTATTTTTCAGTGCATATCGTAACATAAAATCGCTGAAATAGTCTGCTATTGCCTTTGTAACTGCAACACTTGGTAGTGACACTTTGATCTTACATTGCAGTATATAAAAAATGATTGTGCATATTGCCCTTGAAAGCCTTTGTGAATGGTTGTGCTGCACTTTCCGACTAACAAAATCTAGAAACAAAATGAACAAAGAAACTTTTCTTTTTTTTGTGTGGCAATGCCTGCTGAGTAACAACCATTTATATTTTCCAAAGTGTTTCTTTATTTTCTTTTGTTATAAAAGATTGCACCATTCTTAATTTGGTCATTGGTTTTTGCATTTGCCTCTCTGAATTGTGAAAAACGAAACAATTGGCATTTAGTTACTTGAGTTGCGTGCATTGCTTTACAATCCTGGCCGCCGTGCACATGGTGGTAAAAATGCCGAAGCAAGTGATTTTGCAAAAATCGAAACCATCTCGGGGTCTGACTATAATTTTCCAATGCATAGAAGGTAGCTCTGGCATGCGCAAGGCTGCGATCTCTCTTTTATTGCAAGCTCAGTCGTGCCGGCACCGCTCAAAGTGGCTGTCGTTTCCTGTGTCTAGGCTAGACTAGGCTTCAGTCGCGTAAAGTTGGAAGGACCGAAAAATGCCGAAAACTCGCACAGCGATGACAATCTGCCCTGCCTCGGGATCAGGGGGATGAAACGCACTTGATGGAACAAAAATCTGTACGTGGAGGCATGTCGGCATGGTTTGGTGTTCTAGTGTTCTAGTGTCTCCACAGAAGTGGGAGGCAAAGAAAAAAGATGAGAGAGAGAAACTTAAAGCAAGACAGTTAAGAGAGCAAGCAAGAAAAAGAGATAAAAAGTGGAAGTGACATGCAGAGATAAAAAGTGAGATGCAGAGATAGAAAGAAAAGGCGTATCTGCTTGTGATAGATGGGGGAGGGGAGAGACCTGTCTGTTTTGCATGTTCTGACTGAATGCACACAAATCGAGATACAGTGGAAACCCCACTTAGCAAATTATTTTTGAAGGCCCATCCCACTTCACCTACCAATTTTTTTTATTAAACAACCTTCTATTTCTCTTCATCAGGCTACGTCTAAGCAGCAAAACACTTTCTTCAGTGTCTGTTCTTGAGACATAAGTCTCAGCCTTACCATCATAGCTGAGGGTAAGTAACACTTGTATTCTGATGCTACTGGCTTGTTAGTTCCTACAACCACGAGGTCACTTAATGTGTAGCCACTTCATTTGTTAGTAGCTCATGTTTTAATCTGGTTCTATATGCGGCCGTATCATTAATAATAAGTTCTACCATCGCTACTGATCACATCCCCACTGCCATCACACGAGAGCTAAATTGATGCGAAACACTAAGGTGGAAAATAAGTTATGTTGTGGTGTTCAAATGATTGCGATTTTTATGCAAACATTCTTGGTATCTGTGCTCACAGTAAACGCATCTTGATAGGACATGTTTGACATTCATTTTGTCACAGGGATAGAGAATGGGCGAGAAATACAGATATCGCACCTTTTGTGGTATTATTGCAATTTCTATATCTTTATTTATGCACGTTTTACATGTAGGACTTCTGTCCTTTTAAATCCACACTACATTTTGTTATAGTCATTGATCGCACCAATGCATATACAATTTACTTTTTCTGGGTGGTCTACTGGCACTGTAGTCATTGTACCATTAAACCCTGCTACTAAGAAAAACCATGTGTAATGTAATAGATTGGCTTTGCATTATTTGTGGCCTAAGCTTTACATTTCAGAACACAAAACTATCTGGCTTGTCTCTCTGAATCCATTCTAACCTTGCTTGTCCTTTTAATTTTCAGTGGCATTTGTTTTTCAACATTTGTACTGATGTATGTTTCCATGGTAAAGAAGCCCAATGTTGTTTGAAACCATAGTGCATGTCATTGTATTTACTGGTTGGCTCCGCCTCACGTGTGTGTTCTCTACGAAACACAGAACTACAACACAAGACACATTCTACACGTCTCACAATGTCTAAAAAAAATTTTTTACGCATTTGATTTCCAGACATCAACAGTTGATGCAGCCATTTGTATTCAGCCACAGGACTTGTGTTTGCTTTAACCTACCCAAATATTTCGTATATTTCGTGCTAAGATGAGAGAATTGCCACTTAGCTCATTGATTTAGTTCACAGAGCATTTGAATCTTTCATACCTTATTTGCAGCTACAACGCACTGCAGCAGATGCTAAACTTTATATTCCCCACTGCATTCAAGTGCTCCATTTTGTATTGTCTTATGCGTAGAAGTCTTTTTAAAATAGAGTCACTGTTTCACCTCAGAGACAATGCAACAAATGCCATAGCAACAACTTAGAATGTAACACTGAAAGCGGCTAGAAGATCAAAGCGTGCTGTGTGCTGCTCGCACACAAATGACTCACAGAAACAACTCAAACAGGACGAGAGCAAACTAACATTTACCACTCGACACAATGTGCTGTTGAAACGAAAACAACACACGATACCTAATCACAGAGACAGATGTGTGCAAACTAAGAAGTGTTCCGAATGTTACTTCGGTGTATATGAAAAGCACGCTCTTCTTGCAAACAGAGCCTGCACAGCATGTGAATAGAGCTTTGTGGGCCCGACATATAATAAAATTGTTCCGGTGAAAGCCCAAAGCACAATTCTCTCTCCGCAAAAGAATAAGGGTGCTTGCACAAGCTTCTACCCCCCTCCCCCTTCCCAAATCCGTAGGGCAAAGTACACGTGGAAGATAAGCGCTTGTTGGCGCATCGCAACGACCTGAATACTGAGCATGGAGGGCTTTTTTTTTCATTCTTGATTTTTCGTTCTTGATTATACATGTACGGTGCATGACGTCGACACCAGTGGCGAAAACCAGCTGAGAGTGTCCATATAATTTCTATCGCAATAAAAAGTAGTGACATCGAAGTGGTACTGAAAAAGTACTGGCTGAATTACAAGAAAAAAAGTTTGATGAAGCCCAGCTGATTTTGAGTGTATTGAGTGTATGTTGCTTGTGCTAGCTTGAACAGTTGTCTGTGTGCTTTTGCAGATGAGTCCATCCGTTCTGTGGAGAAGCATCGAAGTCTTATGCTTCGGATACTCCCAGAAAAGCATTGTTCCAGTGTCCTCTTGGAAGTCACTCGCTCTTTCACAATAATGTTGCAGCTTAATACTCTGTGTGCATCGGATAATGTTGGTGTTGTGACCATGTCTGTGAGTCCTCCAAAGAACAGGTTTCGCAGTCGTGTGTAATTGACTATTCAGTTTCTGTGATGTATTTCGATAGAACCTGAGAAGTGTATAAGGAATTTCATTGCATTGTGTATGTATTATCCGTGTAAAGCAATATTGGCTGTCTTACAAATCACTGGTTTATATTACGCATTTAATCATGAAATTCTTTACACATGTGTATGTGCCGAGAGAAAGAAATGCATCTAAGCAAGAGCAACGCTCGGCAGGGACACTTTGATTTTACACTGCAGACTGTAAATGTGTAATGGCAACCTGGCGTTACTTTCTTATGCATTTTACCCTCTAAAACATTTGTGCATGTTTGTGTTGTTTTTTCTAGTCAACAAAATTTGTCATCTGGACAAAGGAACTTATTTTTTTGTAGTTCTGCTCATTGAGCAACAGCCTTGTAAATTTGCTTAAATCTTTCTGGTCCTCTTCTGTCATCGAACTTTGCATCATTCTTGATTTGATCATTTGTATATTTCTTTGTCTTTTCTCTCAGTGATGCTTAAGATGCAAGCAGTGCATTGAGTTGATCGCACTTTTTTGTATTATATCCAAGGTTGTTTTACCATTCTAGTATATAAGGACAGTCGTATAAGTCTAATAGTCATTGCTTTTATTCAGTGTAGAGTAAAATCTTGATAATTCGAACATGTTTATAGGTCGAGGCCATAATCTGCATTGTTTAATGGCATGAAGCTCTTGTAATGCGGTCATATTTAGCCTCAATCTACTTAACTCGACCAGTCATTGGAGAGTGCTGAGCATGAAATGTCAGCCAATTTACCTGCGAAAAAACATGTGCACGTGGTGCAGATAATGGTTGTAGCTGTAGGTAAGGACAAGGTGCAGAACACCTTTCAGGCCTAATAAAGAGGGGGTCTTGAAGCTTGGCTACATTGTGAACAGAGTTGCAGGATTACGAGACTTGCGACTTTTTCTCCTTTTTTATGCGAAATAAGTATAGGATTTATTTACAAATTGATATAGAAATAGAAAATGTAATAAAAAAATGTGTAAGCTGTGGAAATGCAAATAGAACAACAACCTTTTTTTGCATTCCTTATAGATGTATCAGCATTTCAGACCATCACACCTGTGATGTCACTTTTATCCCTTCCTAGTGATTCTATCATATTTTGCCATTTATTTCTTATTAACCTCTTAATCTCATATATCATTTCTTGTGCTTTGTGTCTTGATTTAGGAAGGTGTTTGGTGGGTGTGCAGCATTTTATAAATATTTCAATTGAGAAAAAAAAAGAAAGTGCAATAAATGTTTCAATGAGCTGGTGCATAAACTCTTAGCGTATTACGGAAAAGCTTTGGTATTTAGGTGTAGTATCAGAATTACACAAACTTGCATTCTTGTGCATTCACTGGATTGTTTTGCATGTATTGGGCATAGTATTTACATACAGAGAGAGAAAGCTGTAACCATGTCATCATAGCATGGGTACTGCTCCAGTAACATGTGGTTTTTTAGGCAAAAGTGATTATGCACTTTGTCTGTAAGTACAGTAATCTTTCTTCATTGTCTGGTGCTGTAGTCTAGTTACAGACAATGCGTGTAAGATTTTTTATTGCCTTCCTTTTGTCTCTGTGGTTTTGCAGGTTCCTTGTCTTCGGCATGCCATGAGGAGTACCATTCGCTCGTGTCTGTACAAGGCGGACTGCATTCGTGTCTTATGTGTAGCTATGCGACCAAGGTAAAAGGACACATGCAAGTACACCTTCGCAAGCACACGGGAGAACGCCCTTTCCAGTGCCACCTATGCCCAGCTGCATTTTCTCTGAGAGCAACCCTCGTTGATCACATTCGCACCCACACGGGAGAGCGTCCCTTTTCCTGTGACCGCTGCAGTGCGTCGTTTGCACTAAAGAAGACCCTCGTGAAGCACATGCGAACCCACACGCGAGAGCGTCCGTTTTCCTGTGAGCATTGCTCTGCATCATTTTCACGAATGACGAACCTCATAAGGCACATGCACAGCCACACAGGAAACCGTCCCTTTTGTTGTGACCACTGCAGTGCATCTTTCGCACTGAAAAAGACCTTCGTGAACCATATGCGCATCCACACAAGAGAGGGTGCCTATTCTTGTGACCACTGCAATGCGTCCTTCTCTCAGCAAAACCGCCTGACGGACCACATGTCTCGTTATCATGAAGACAAGAAGCCATAAAATTTGAGTGCTTTACTGACCTTCTGTAAGGGGGGAAGCATATCAGGGTGAAGAGAGCTCGTTGATCAGAAGTGACAGTGAAAGAGTAGTTCGAGGTTTGGAAAGTCTCTTTGTTCAGCAAATGATAATGGCGCGAATTCTTGGGAGGAAAGGCAAGTGGTAGAAAAGAGTGCAAAGGAGAGGCCACCTTCTTGAGATAGTATTCACACTAGCGTGCACTACTTTTGGGTAAGGGTCCCTTATGAGATCTGTTGAGTGGGTACAGGCTTTCGAACTATGTGCCGCTGAAGGGTTGAAGAAAGATATCTCCCCATTCATAAAACTAGAAACAGCAATTTTCTAATTATGTGTCTGGTAATCTACATATTAAGCTATGGTGGCAGTGCTGATGGTTTGTTCACATTAATTTGTTTTCCTTGATGTCATGATACTGCATAATGAATATAAACTACAAGTAATGAATTATGAGGCATTTTATTGGCTAGCCTGCTCCCACATTTGTCTTGCGAATCATTCGAATGGCTTGTAGTTTGGACAACAATATTTAGGTATTTGTATTCATATATGTTTGACATACTGCAAACCTCATATTGAAAATATTTGTCAGGAAGGAGAAAAAAATAAATATAATAAAGTCACTACTACAGAAGCATACTAGTACTCATTCAAAATACTAGTACAGACTTTTGAGTAAGAGTGTGATGGTAAAAAATTTACATTTATAAATGAGAACACCTAAATATATATCACTCATACAGTCATATCATACTTAGAGGTATAAGGATACGATCATACCCAGATATATTCTAGACTTACAAAAAAGAAGTTTGCTCATTCTAGTGGAATTTTGTGAAGCCTATGTGGCTTTTTTTTTTTTCAGCACCACAGGGAACTGTAATGGCACACTCAGGACATTGCTATGTCGTCGAAGATTGGCCAATATAAAACAGCCATTACAAAGCACCATTTAATTTTCTATTCTGGAAGGACAGATTTCATTGCCAAGCTTTTCTGTAATCTTGTTGAAAAACCTTGATATATCAGTGTCTTAAAAAACATGTTTTAAAATTAAATATTTAATAGGATACTTTCTAAATTCAATAAATATTCAATTTATTTGAATAGCAAAAAAAATGGGCCCTAAGATAATTTCGGATACTTGAGCACACAGAGTGCGCGCATTTTGTTACAGACAATTCCATTACTCTGAGCCACCACAATAAGAACGTGCGGCTGAGGGAGAAGCTACACTCAAAAAGATATGAATACACTAAAGTAGTCCTGTATTTACAACCAAGTTGTAAGGCTGGTAAATCTTTTTCTTCTTATCTCATTTCTAGTTTTCTTTTCGGATGAAATTTTTCTAGTTACATTTTATTTCATATGCTTCATGTATCACCATATAGGTACTTCGATGCACATTAAAGTGTGATGATTAGCTTGATGGTCTAATGCTAAGTAGTGTGATGTCACAAATGAAAATAAATTTCGTGATTTAAGTGTTGTATATCTGGATTGCAACTTAGGCCTTTATGTATTGGCAGCAGTGCTTTGTATATGAAAGCATAGTATTTAAGCAGGGAATGTTGAGAACTTGCATAAAAAATGTAGTGTGTTGGCACACTGCACTGCCACTGCACTAACGTGAGGATCAAGGTTAATGTGTGTATTGGTGTAGTAGCTCCTAATTTCTTCTTGTTGAAGTCTGATTTCGTGTGTAGAGTATAACACGCGGTTTTCGTTGCCTCGCTGTATTTTTTTGGCTTTTCAGTTTCCTCGTCCTTGGCATCGTTAAAGCAGTACCGTTCACTGAAGCCGCACAAAGAAGACTGCATTTCTGCTAGCAGTGCTCATATGTTAGCTAGTACAAGATGCGAGGATTTGTGTCCACCTGGGCAAGCGTTACCTTTGAGTGCCACCTCTGTATAGCTGCATTCACTCAGAAGTGTGGCCTTATAAAGCACGTTATCAGCAAGTTATCTTTTTGTTGACTTTACTTTCTTTACATTGGTATCATAACTAGTACATTCTTGTCTGTTACTTCAGTTAATGTCGTGCCTAACAAAGAAAAAGCCCTTGAATTTCTCCTTTCTGACCGTGAGCTTTCTGGCCAAGAAGAAATTTCAAGAATACAAAGTTCCCCATCCTGTGAAGTTACATTGTGAGGTCAGGTAAGAAAAGTTTTTGGAACACGCCGGTTTTTGTATGAAGACTGCATTAATTTTAATAAGTGGTATGTGTGTATTTTTTTAGAATGCCTCATTCGAGTTTTGCTATTTCACAAAAGTATTGTAGTGGTATTTCTTAATGATAGTATTAATAATATTTGGGGTTTAACATCTCAAACTACTATATGGTTATGAGAGATGGCGTAGTGGAGGGTTCCGAAAATTTCAACCACCTGGATCATGCCCCCAAATCTGAGCACCAGGGCCTACAGAATTTTTGCCTCCCTCGAAAATGCGGCCGCCGCATCCTGTAGTGGTAGTTCTGACTTCCAAGAAATTTCAATGCAGGGCACCTCATTTTTAATACCACAGAACGGCCGAGACTTATCCATCATTCTAGCCTCTACATTGGGCTGTGAGATCTTGCTTGCAAAGCACAGTTACACATGGTCCCAGTGGCTTGGTGCCACACTTCTTGGCTTTGGAAACAGTTCAGGTTAGAAAAACCATCTGAATGAAGTGCAGCAAAGGCTAATTCTTGTATATTTGATTGAGTGCAGCATTGAAGTTGGGACAAAATATGCAATTGTTTATTAAACTTTCTATTTTACCAAAACCCAAACTAGTCTTCATAAATTGCAACAACATATGCTTCGCCATGCAACTTGAACAATAAGGTTGTATCGGAAACGTGGACGTCATCATAAAAGTTTTTTTTGGTAGTAAAAGGGCATCCATAAAATATTTTCATAGCTTGACACATTCGTTGAAGCTACCCTTAATAACGAATAAGGAGGCTATCGTGAGGAAATGTTGGGTAACCTTATGTCATAGATGTAAGCCTTTGCAGGGTTCCCCTTCAGGGAGGGGGGTGGGAGTTCACAGCCCTCCCCACCTATTAAGTCAACGTATGTGGCAACATTTGCCTCCCTCCCTATTTCTGCGTGCACGCCTATAGTCCTAGGTATATGAAAGTTTGAGGCTGTCTGCAGGAAGGCGAGATGTCACCATTTGAGATACTGCATAGAAATATACATTTATGTGCACAAATATGTATTTTCTTACATGCTAATACTATTGCGTGTTAGTGTCTTTAAAGGTTTTGTTCGTAAATGTTGTGGTGGTTGAGGTTTGCATGTCGCCATTGCGCAGCTTTTCTACCTACTCAGCCGTCCCACATGTCCAACAATATTTCTCCCTTCCGACGCGATCCTAGGGTGACGGGCGAGTGGGGTGACCTTAGCCTCCCGCACCTAGCAGCCTAGCGCGGGATATCGATGGTAACGCAACATGTCGCCTTTCTCGTGTTGGAGTCTTCTCAATGCTTTAGCGTGCTTAAGGCTTGATCACAAGCACCTGTTGCAGCGCGTCAGCGTGTGGCTTTGCTGATGTGGGTTCGCGTCCTCTACCTGTGGAGAGAAAGGGTGTGCAGCTTGGCGTAGCTAAGTGCTTTCTCTCTCTCTCTCTCTCCAAGGAAAGCGGGTGCGAAGCCATGTCAAAAAGCCACGCACTGACGCGCTGCAACAGGTGCGTGTGATCAGGCCGAACAAGCGCCATCTCTGACGCCCGACAAAAAGAGGGGACGGCAGATGGCTTGTGGTTGCAATGTGTCGGATGGTATGTGAAGAGAGCCGCGCGAGGCTCATGAGCTCGCGTCTCGGGTAGTACGGGAAGATTATAGGTGTTCTGTGGTATGGGTTTCCACTCACGGCCATTGGACGCTCGACTCGCGTTGCAGTACGACACGTATAGGGCGTTATCCAGCTGTGTAGTGCTAGAGCTTTAAATAAAAACTAGTTTTATTAATCAATGATATGGCGCAGCTGTGAAACTTTGTCTCAGAGACGTGTTAGTGGCACTCGTTGTGTATTTTTGCCCAGAGATATTTCTTCATTTGAAGAGATGCTTTTTACCTAGCTTCAAATATACTGTCTTTTTGCAATTCATATTTCTTCATACTTGTAAACTTCATTTCTTGTACTGTACCTTTTACATAATGCACATTTCTAGAAATGAATCACCATCAGTACTGTAGTTTTTTGCAGAATGGCTAAAGAAATATTTTTTCTTTAATCTTCGAAAGCAAGTATTCATTGTAGAAAGTACAATTTATGCACAGATGTTTTAGATGTGATTGTTTCAGTTTTTACGTCTTGCATGCAGACTTCATTCCAGTGTCTATCTTAAGTTGTACTCTAAATGGACTTTTCTGGTTCTTGCTTTTCAACTCACATTGAATGTATTATCTTTTAATTCGTCTTCATGAGCTTAGGGTTTGCAGCTAATCAGTGGATGAGGTCGAAGCTATGGATATTCCATCCTCTACCCTTTTTATGCCATGGTACGGTTTTTGGTAGCTGAAGCTGCCGTTGGGCCCGATACTGCATCTTTGCAAAGACTCGGCATGCGTGCTAGTATTTTTAATGTGGAGGCAAGTGCAATTTAAAATGTGCTATAAAGAAATTGTCAGGCGAAATATTGAAGAAAAAAAACTGTTGTATTTACAGGTTCATGAAGTGTTGTGTGTACATTGTACACGGACAAACCTCATAAAAATACGGCCCTGAATGGTCTTGAACAGTATTTGATTACAGCGTACCAAAGCACTTCGAATACTATAGTCTGCAGAGTTCCAGGTCACTTTGGTATTGACAAGAATAAACAAGCATATGCTTCTGCAGCACTAGCCACACGAAGAAGCAGTCATGACGAGATTAGTGTGTCACACTATGCAAGATCTGGAAGCACTGTGCCACACAACATCAATACCTTCGTTTCATACTTATTTATGAGTGGAAACTTTGTAGACTAGTGATTGCATTATATAATTGGTGCATCTTTTCATGACAAGCCCTTTGTTCTGACTACAAGTGCGTTGGTCACTTTACTGCCATTGCTGTCTTGACAATGATTTTAAAAGTGAAGAGAACTTTTTAGAGGAAAATAAGTATGAATACAGCAAACAAAAGTGAATATACTTCAGTGACTCTGATAATGTTAAATTTAGTGAAAAGAGATTATGTTGGGTGTATTGGTGAATAATGCTGGGTGGAGAGAAAATTTTGCTATGATTTGAGGGGCACGTTTGTGAAGAAGTATTTTGTGTATGTTAGTATTTGTAGTGGTGCCCCGCACAAGCGTGTCGGATAAATTTGTAATTTCACCTTGTTGTGCGCCAAGAGAAAATGTTTGCTGTATAAGTAACTATATAAGTAATTTCAAAATCTAATGAGGGTGGCGATTTGGGCTTGTTGGTATTGTAGGATGATAATATATGGTAGCACAGACAAAACACACGGACAAGAGAAAGCACCTTTGCGCTGTGTTGTCGTGAATGCGCCTTCTCTTGTCCGTGTTCTTTGTCTGCGCTACCATATATTATCTTTCAAAATCTAGCCAGATGTTGGTGGCTTCAATGTTAGCACGATATCATTAAAGACCTCGTTTCACAGAAATTCTGGCATCAGCGTCAATGCCGTTAGTTGTTTGCGAAAAATCTTGGCTTTGACTGAAAAATCGACATGTATGCAAATAAAAGAAATAATAAAACTCTTTGGTACGAGTGAGCATCTATGTTAGGCCATCTGCGGCAAGCGGGTTCTCTCCCACAAAGCCAAGCTATCGCTCGCAATTGCTTCAGGAAAAAAGCACTATATAAATTCCATGCAGTAGAAGTAGTCTTGTCGCATGTAATAGTATTGTGTGGCAAAAGCATAGATTTGCACCAGGTATCAGAAGATGTAAACCGGGCAAAGAGCGGGTGTCCTGAATGCCCACCCATTACAAAGCTCTTAAAGACATCATGCATTGCTCCATCAGCAAAAGCATCAACAGAGCGAACTGCTGCGTTGGTTCGTGTATAGCCCTACGGACGCATAATAGACCCTTTGGGTATTCTAAAAATGCAAGTTTCTGTTGTTTTGTAGGTTTTGTTAGCACCTCATTAACATTGAGAAGATAACGTTTTCGAAATGATTTTTCGAGATGCCTGCAACCATGGTCAACATGTCTCTTTAATTTCTAAAAAAATTCTGTAAGTTGCCCGTAAAGCAGGCTTCTGCACAGTATGATGCATTGTGAGAAGAAGCCGACTCAAACTATACGATTGTGTATATGCATGCTGGGACTACTGATCAACTGCCAGCTCATGAAAAGATATATGTCGCGACGCTAGCCCGCACAAAAAAAAAGTGTTCTACATGTCATAACTACCAGCAGTACTGATCAACACTCCTAGTTTCGAATCCACCATCACGTGGATGGTGGGGACATCACCGGAGTAGCTCAGGTTACCAACCGAGCACCATGCAGACATATCGTTATAAGGTTAC